GCAAAGGCAAGGGCGATGGGGCGAAGGGTCGCTGAATCTGCGGCGGCAGCGGCCACCGCCGCTGTCAGGGCCTTGTCTCGCTGAGCGCTGAGTTTTTCCGGCGTCTATTTCTCCAGCTTGGCACGCACATGCTGCCAGAGGCGAACCTGCACATGCTGCCAGAGGCGAGCATGCAACTGCAAGCCAGTATTTAAATTTCCATCGGCGATGCAGCTCGGGCAGACAGGGGGACTCTATGCATTGTCGACGTGCAGCACTTTGCATCGCACGCACAACATGCAGCAGCCGACCTCCGCGTCCCGCGGCACACCACCAACCCGAACCGAGGCAAACGGATACTAGCGATATGTTCAGATGTCGTCTTTGCCGGGGATCTATCGCCCAACCTGTGTTTAAACATGCCACTGGCCTTGGCACCATAATTTCGGCGGTTAATATTGAAATTCATGAGGCCCGGTGGATACTCCTACATCTGCATGATTTAGCTATCTGAATTGTTTTTCCGCGGACTTTTATGCCTGCACGACTGAGTCGACTGCGACGGTCCCGGCTTAATTAGGACCGCAGCGGCAGGCGACTGGCCCCTTCGTTTGCTGCAAGGTCGAGGACACGGTCCAAGGGCCGTCACTCCGCCCCTGCTGTGGAGCAGCTGGCCAGGGGCGGCCACGCGCAGTATTGGCGACGGCGAGCTGGATCGCGACGGAAAGAGCGCCCCACCAGCGTCTCGCCCAGCCGGGTGCGACACAGCCAAGCTCTCTCCCGCAACCACAAATGCCAAAAACGTGGTTTTTTACGGACCAAATGATGGAAATGTAACCTTTTCGCCCTAACCGTTTGTTGCGCCTCAGCTGTGCACTCACGGCACCAACGACGCCAAGCAGCATTTCGACCGACCATAACGTCATAGCACTCATCATCCCACCAATCCGGTGGAGGACGCCGCCCAACGGTTTCGACGCCGGACTTGGGGAAGATTGCCACCGCATGGACACCAGCTCTCTGTACAACACATCACGTATGGCACGGCGCAGGGCGATCGACGAGCATGGGGCGTCGCGCAGCAGACTCGAGAGCTCGGACCAGAAAAAACGAACGAGCATAGTGCGCAAAACGGCACAACATCTTCAACTGACATAGGCGTCAGTGCAATCTGAAAGGTGACACCGGGCAACAACAGCCTTCGGGGCATGCGCACGAGCTCCCATCATGGACGACAACATTGCGAATGGCAAGCCCACGCGAAACCAGCACCAGAGCCGGAACGATGCGTTGGAACACCAACGGGATTTGCTATCTCAAGCTGAAAATCAGCACAGATGCCACGAATGAGTTCACGAAGCCGCCCAGATCTTCCGCGTTCAGACCCCATAACTTCGCCCAAATAGACATTGCAATCCTCAGCTAAAAGCAGTTCACCTCGAGGACAAAGTTGTAAGATTTCTTGGGTGGAAATACGAAGATCGCTCCAACATGCCACACGATTGACATACCTACATGCGGGGCATAAAAGCTACAAACCAAAACAGAGGAGCTGCGATCGAGGGCAGGCGCAAAACACCACCAGCGAAATCTATAATCTAGATGAGGCACTACGGATCGAAACCGGCCATGAAGGGGAGGCGTTCTTAACAAGGAAAACGGCCGCAGTTGCTCGGCACGCGGCGAGGCACACGTGGCCAGGAGAAGCCACGCACACTGGAGGTCAGGCAGCATAGGGAGCTCGTGAAGAGTCTTGCTTCCGCTCACGCAGGCCAGCATGCCGGCTGGCCGGCGGCTCGTTGGAAGCAGCGGCGAGATCGTGCAGGGCCGCGTCCCCGAGGTTGCCTTTGCCCACGACCATGCCTGCCAAAGATGGCCGGCAAGGGCCGCAGGCATGCTGCAACGCCAGCCCATCAGAGCTCTGTCAACGAGCGGGACCATGGCCAAAGACCTCCCCGGCACATATTCCTTGACGGCACTGGACTATGTCCGGGCAAACGGGTGTCGCACGGCTCGCCCGGTGGCCGATGGAATGTGGCTGCGGCTTGGCGGAGCAGGTCGACGAAGACCCTGTTTGCCGACATTGCAGGTCCACAAGCGTCATGCGAGCCTGACTGGGTTTTCAGTATACCGCAGCCTGCGAAGCACCAGAAGGGACTCAAGGGCGTCGTCGGACAAGGCGTGCAGTGCAACGGCTCCAAACCCAGGCGGGTTGTTTTTCGAAGCAGTCCTCCGAATTGGCGAGGAGCTTCCAGTTCTAGATGCATTGGCGCAGCATTTGCGGTGTTGCCGGATTCTTTGGGCACGATTCGCGGACCGAGTGAAGCCACTATAGTCATCGTCACTGAAGCGCCCATGTGAGTTGGAGGAGTGCCGCATCGACTGGGCGTGCTGGCAAAGGGCGTTGGCATTCACGGTGTCTGAGGAGCGGAGGCACCGTACTCAGGCACCACTGCGCCCTGCGTGTTAGCTCCGGACCTTGCGAGGATGCGAGTGCCACGCAGGCAGTCAACTGGTCTGAGTTGGGCCGACGTGGACGGCACGACAGGGCGACGATTGGTGTCAGCGCATGCCGGCAAAGCGTTCCCAGATTTCCCACCAGCATCCCCACCCGATCCCACCCGAGCTCCGAACGCAGGGCTTTGCTTGCAGCGTAGTGCGTGAGATAATTGCCCCGCACCGAAGCCCACATCGCACGTCCGCCCTCCGGAAACGTCTACTTAGCTCTTGGCTCTTGTCCCTCGAAGTCTATCGGGCGGGCATCGCCTTCGCTTTTCTTTCGGGGCTGGCATGCCTTGGCGCTGGTCTGATGGCTCGCACACGGGGGTATTCTGGTTTGGCATTCGCCGCATTGGAGACTGCGAGCTGCATAGCAACATTCGGCGTTTGCATTTGGGAGTGCTTTACAGGCTGTAAACGCATCAACACCCAAGGCGCAATGCCCAATATGGATAGGACGCGACGAAGATCTATAGCAACTATAGCAATCCATAGCATGCGAAGGACAAGCCAACACATGCCAAAACGCAAACTACAACGAGTCGCCAATGCAGTCTGCCACGGAATCTGGAGATCCGAGCAGGCTTGCTATAGTTAACTGCTGCAGGCAACGTTACTTCTCACTCAGAGCGCGCAGGGCAGGAGACAGAGGAAGGGAGAGAGGGAGAGGGAGTGGGAGAGGGAGAAGGGGGAGGGAGAGCGAGAGCGAGAGAGAGAGGGAGAGAGAGAGAGAGAGAGAGGTTTAGAGGGTTCAGGCCTCGGGATAGACATGGTTCAGAATTGTACGATTTATCGGTTTATCATTTACGACTTTGTGGTGGGTTCACAGGACCTTATCAGGCATTACGGTTAAGCACATCGGCGTGCAGTGTGCACGTGCATGATGGCATATGCAGGCTTGCTGCTGTCATCAAGAGAAGGAAGCTGCAAAGCGGCCTCCCCTCCCGCGATGTTGAAGAGGCGCTTTCCTTGCACGGAACGAAGCCCCTCAGGGTCATTGAAGTACCTGCACAAGAAATCAACTCACACAATCCATCTCATGAGCGATTATCATGATCGTTCAGCCTATGCTAGAATTGCTCAAGTCGGCTGCCTCCCAAATCCCTGCTGCGCCAACCTCTGCGGTTGCACTTGTGGTGCCGCTGCAATATATAGTTACATCCTCTACATCGAATGATTCACCACGGAGAGCAGATGTCACTCACCCCTTCAAAGCTGCTGGCCCGTTGACTGGACCATGAGGCGCATCAACTTGTCGACGTCGAAGAGGTAAGGCCTGAAAGCATGATTAGCTCTAATTGGCAAGCACTAGCAATCTTAGCAAGCATGACCATGGAGGAGCCCAGATTCCGTTGAGCATTCCATGAGGCAGTCAAGCTTTCGGCAGAGGAGGCACCAAACACAATGTGCTGGATAAACACGAGTTCAAGTTGTACATAGCAGGCTTGAACAGTACGTCTCACCCACTCCAAAGGCTCCGGTCCGAGCAGTAGCGTAAGACTCCAAGCTGCTCACGGTGTTTCGATCGCAGAATTTGGCACCTCAGAATCTACAGTGCTTCGCATCGTTTGACGCCGAGGGAAGCAGGCAACTTGGAGGCGTGGTAAAGCCCTCCCTGCAAGTCGGTAACAACTCTTGCACTTGCACCCGATCTAAACTCGCCAAGCACGAAGGTCACAACAAAGCTGACTGGAGAAGGGTGAGGAGCTTCGCAGCTAGTCTCGTTGCTAAAAGCTGAGCCCGTCCTCTCAGGACTGCAGAATGGTGATAGGGGAATCCGGGAAAGCCGCAGTGGCACACATCAAGAGCCTCGAAGAGCCTCCAAAGAGCTGGGTGCCAGGCTGACAGCACCGGGCCACTCAGGCTTGCCCTGCACAGAGCCGCAACCGTACGACTATGCCCCCTTTTTTTGTGAGTGTGTTCTCTCAGCACTCACAGTCACTTGCTTACAAGATTTACAATTGTGGTGCGAGATCAGGGAAGGAACAAGTGCCCTATGGACCAAACATCCAGAGACTCGAGAGTCTCACAAGCTCCGGAATGCAACCGGGGCCTCGGCGGGCAAGTCCATGGTGGCACCGACAGGGCCACGAGACGTCAGAACACGTAATTCGCGATGCAACTTCGATGGTGTGAAGTTTCGCAGATTCGCCAAAACGGTTTGAGCCCAGTCTTGCATGGTAATCATCACATCACCCTCTCCCAGCTATAAGCCATGATGGCTGCAACAAGCAGCAAAAATGATACAGAACAGACTCAGACATGAAGCCGCTCTGCCTGTTACAGTACTAGACCTGGACATAGTGAGTAGATGCTCATCAAACATGTGTTGGCAAACACGTCCCGCACCTTAGGTCCTTGGGTCTGCGGCTTCAAAGCGATGTGGGAGTCGAAGTGTGAAACGCATGGGCCGGCAATGGCCACACCAGTCGGGCGGCGGGGAGACACGGAGACGGACGTCCTCGACGGCGTGGTGAGACGGCGAATGTCGGGCAGAGTTGTACACAGTGACAAAGATCTCGTCAGCTCTCGGGCGAGTTGCTGGGGCTCAGGAGACCGCGCCTAGCATGCAGCGTGGCAAGTGCGGGCGGCAATCGGAATCATCTGAATCAGAAGAACCTTCTGAGAGGCAGGAATGTCGAAAATCAGGCCGGCAGAGCCACAGGCGGGGATTGGAGCTCTCTCGCAGCCGGTGCATCTCGTGCCTAGCACGTGCTGGGTGATTCTGCAGAGATGCAGATGTTGTCCAATGAAACCGAGGAGCTCGTAAGTCTCGCGTTGACCACCTCCACTGTGCAACAATTCAAGTCCCGCCGGCCCTACGTCCCGGAGAAGACACAGACTCAATGCATGTCAGTGCTGTATTGTCGATGACAGGCATTGCTTGTCAACACGGGCAGCTCCCCAATCCCAACGTTCCGGAGATGTTCCTGGCTACGTGTGCATGGTACACCCTTCAACGACGATCTCAGTTTGTAGCGGCTCCTTCGGTCGGACATTCTGCAGCGGGGTCGGTAGTCCCTCTCGGGCAACTGTACCCGCCACAAGTCGGGACCGACTCTGACCAGGGCCAGTGCATCTGGTGTTCCGGACCGTCGTGACGTGACGTGTCTGGGAAGATTGCGAGGCTTTTGAACGAACAGGCAGAGTAGTCTTCATCCCCTGGTACAATAGGTCAGGGCGTGGGCGTGGAAACCGAAGGTCTCTGGGCCTTCCAAGTCTCCGGGCAGTTGCAGCTGCTCCTGCAAACAAACAACAGGCTTTGCGGCTTTGCGGCTCTGCCCGCAACTACCAGCTACGAATCTATCAGGTACGCTGCCTGAAACAGCCTCTCTACTGCACTCCATGCGATGCTTGCCCTGGTCTCTGAACGCTCCTTCCTTACCAACCAGAAAATAAGTGTTTCCAATTCAAAAACACTGGCCAGCATGGATCACTCGGTTGCCCGCGTCCCTCCGACCCCTATCACACTCCTGAGAACGGACCACTCGCCGAAAAGCAACCGCAGGGATGCGTCGGTCTAGCATGTCTTGGTACCTGCGGGATGTCAACATGTACAATGCGCAAGGACGCAGTTGGCTGGAATGCCTTTTTTTCGATGACCGAAGCAAGATCATCAGCACACACAGCATGACGGTCGAAAGGCCTCACAAGTCTGCTTGGTTTGGCGCAGAGTTTTGGCACTGTGTCTAATTTTCTCTTGGCGAAAGCATCTGCAGGTGGATGCATCTCGGGTGCCACATTGAGGCTTCGGCCGATAATAATGGCTTTGTCAGTCCGGGAGTACACCTGCTCCGTTGGTCAATTCACCCACCTATAAGGATTGGCTTGCTCTCGCAGTGCGATTTACTTCAAGGCCCAGCGCCTGCTTCTTCACTGGATCGCCGTCTGCGTCGTCTGTCTCGGACATCCGCAGTGATTCTGCGGAAGCAGCTGTCCAAACCTGCCGTTGTCATCCGTCCATGGGCGCACAGCAACCAGCGACCGATGCAGAGATGGCTCTGGGACATGTGCCCAGAAGGCAGTCGTAGGTAGGGATCCCAAACCTCTGTACACTCAGCCTTTGCTGCTTGGCTGACATCCGCTCTGCTCTAGGCGCCGTACATCCCAAGACAAATCCAGCGGTACTCAGCGAGGTCAGCGAGCATGCGTAGTTGAGTGCCTCATGCATACGTGAGTGTGAAGCCTGCAGATTACCTGTGCCATGTTCTGCTGCCTCCAGCGGCAGGAACGGACTCATTCTGGCCACGAGTACGAACTTCCAGCCTGGTACACTCTGAAATGCTAACGGTTGGGCTGGCCCGTTGCACCTCCTTGCCTTCCTGCTCGACTATCTCGTCTAGCACCTGCCCATGGACACGTGGCAGAAGGCACCTTCTGGATCGCGCCAGCTCTTTCACCGCTGCAGGCAGACTGCAGGAGCCTCTACCCATTCCAGGTGTCGGAGCCTCGGAACGGCAGCTTAGCATGAGGCTGCAGCTCGCAACTGTGCAGCTGTTCTCGGCCCTTCTCTTTCCGCACGTCCTCTCTCCCTCGAGATGGGAGTGGACGGGGGTCGCCACATCGCATGCTTTCCACAAGTATCGAGTCTCTTTATCTAACTTGTTCGCTCGCGGGCCGGAGCAAGTTCCACATTCTTTTAATTTTACTGCAGGGGAGACTGGACAAATGCAAATCAGCTGGCAAGAATGCAACATGCGACAGGCCTTCTGATCAGACACGACCGGAAGAGGAAACGACCTTACACAAGGTGATTTCGCAAATGCACCACGCATGTATCGAACAAATGCCCAAATCAAAATCAACATGGCATTATGCTACTGGTGGCTTCTGTTCACGGTAGCTTGGTTGATAAGAAGCTGCCAAACCCGAACGGTCACATAGAGTGGCCACATACAATCCACCCTGTCTACATGAGTTCCCATGTCATGCAGCACCGACTTGAGCTTGCGGCCGATGCCAAACGAGATGAGTCCACCAACCGAGACGCCGCTGAAGACTGCAGCAGTGCCTTTCATGCCACGAGAGAAGCACTTGGCAAAGTTGCTCTTGCATCTTGCTCCTTTCGAGGATATGAGTAAGCCGGCAAGCCTGCAATGCATCCCTGCAACACCTTTCCTTTGAAGATGTGGGCAAAAACGACCTTTGGAGCACACTGCAAGCAATGCCGTCATTGCCAAACGTAGAACGAGGATTATGTTGAGCCGCACTCAGGTATAGCTGGGCTTGCTGCTCCGGCTCCAATCCACAAGCCGAAAGAAGGCAGGCAGAAAATGTTAGCCTGGCATGGGACAGGGTGAGATTCAATCGCCGTGGTGGCAGTTCCATCGCTGAAGCGTAGCATGCGACACGACTTGCTACTGTTCCCGTGAGTTTGGGTTTGCGCTCATCAAGATGAATGTCTGGGCCAGCACCACTTTGGTGGTGCTGAACCTCGAAGCTTGAAACATCCGAAAACACTGTTTGCTTTTGGAAAATGCACCGCTCTGCCGGTTTCGAGGTGGTGCAGAATTCACATGTTCTTAGCATCATGCATTCGAACCAGGCACTGTCATTATCTCCTCTCGGTTCCCAAAAGCCCTAAACCCTAAACCCTAAAAAGGAGTGACTGGTTGCCAAAAGCCCAAGCTCCAGAAAGGGATGATGGGTGGGCAAATACAACACCCCAGAAGGACCGACTGCTCCCCAATAACTTGCTACACTGAAAGGAAATGGCTGGTTCGCAGAGTCCCTCAACCCTAATACGAATAATGTTTCAACATACCGCGGCTGCCTTCGCAAAACCCCAAATCCTGCAGAGTGACTGCAAAACCCTTCAAACCCAAAAGACAAGCCACAAACAGTGGTAGAAGCTAAACCAGAGCCTTAAAGCTCCCTTGAACCTTGAAGGAATGTCTGGTTTGGAAAATGGCGGCCGCAAGCAAGCCCCAAGGGAGATCATGGCCTTGAAAGGTGCAACTGATTTCCGAAACTCTAGTCTGAGCCCCAAGAGGAGTAACTCGAGATGATGCAAGCTCACAACCCCTTTAAATGATTGCTAGGTTGCCAAAACCAAACGGGCAGATTCCCTATACTATGCACTCGTAGTACTGCTCCTGCGACAGCTGCTACTAATTACTAACTACGAACTACTAACTACTAACTACTAACTACTAGCTAACTAATTACTAAATACTAACTACTTACTACTTACTGCTTACTGCTTGCCACTTACTACTTACTACTTACTGCGTACTACTTACTACTTACTACTTGCTACATACTACTACTACTACTACTCCTCCTCCTACTACTCCTCCTCCTACTACTCCTCCTCCTACTACTACTAGTCCTACTACTATAGGACTACTGCCACCACTACCACTTACTACTACTACTACGACGACGACTACTACGACTACTACGACTACTACTACTACTACGACTACGACTACGACGACTACTACTACTACTACTACAACTACTACTACTACTACTACCACCACTACCTCTACCTCTACC